AAAAATACAATTTTTAACAAATATGGCATAGCTCTAATATTTTTATTTAAAAAAATATTAGAAAAAAATATCCCCTTCATGAATAGGGCCAGTTCTTTTCCAGCTTAAGAAAAAATAAAAATAAAAATTCGGAATTCCCTTTTTCTCCTTTTCCTGCTCCCACTTCCTCAACCCATAACTCCCATTCCCGATTCTTTAAAACCTTCGCCCCTCTTTCTCCGAAACCACTCAAAATCAAGACTGCAATCATCTCAAAAGGAGCGGAAGTGAACTTCTTCGAAGCCCAGAGTCGCCATGTTGGGAAAAGCTCTCTCCTCCCCAACGCCTTCCACCGGTTCTCTCGCCGGCGATGGCGATCTGGAGGCTGGCTTCTCCGGCGGAGTCCCTTCGGCAGCCCCTATTTACTACGGGAAAGGAACGTACCGGGCGTTGACACCTCCAAAGCCGGTGAGATTCTTCTTCGACGACCTGTCCGATGACGAATCTAACCACTTTCTCGACTTTTGCTTCCTATGCAAGAAGCAACTCGGCGGAAACCGCGACATCTACATGTACAGGTTCGTGCTGTAAATACTTTCGATTACCCCCGTAATCTAGAGCGTGAGGGTTGGGATCTGAAACGATCTGTGGCTTAAATGGTTGCAGGGGTGATACACCGTTCTGCAGCGTAGAGTGCCGGCAGGAGCAGATAGAGATGGATGAGGCTAGAGAGAGAAACTGGAAGCTTGCGATGATCGAGCAGCAGCAGAAGCATCAGAAATCCTCCAGCCAAACCAAATCGCAGAGAATCAAGGTCCGACTTGGGACCGTCGTCCCAGCCTGAGATCTACGGTGGCGCTATAACAGAACTTCATCGCAATAGAATGAAATGAAGATAAATATAAACATAAGTGAGAAAATGAGAGAAAAATTCGGAGAGAAATCATGTGATCTGAAGGAGATTGGTTTCTGTTGGACTTAGGTTTCTGCCCTCTCTTTAAGCATAGATCGGATCTTGCCGCCGCCGACGGTCACTTGGATCTGAAACTTTTTTGTTTTAAATATTTATGATATGTACAGGAACGATTTTCCTGCAAATTTTGCAAATAGTGAGGTTTTTTCTGCAATCTCCCGGGTTCAAGTTGAAAAAAAAAAAAAAGAGTTCTCTAGTCTTCTTTTTATTTTTGTAG